GTTACTCTCATAAAGGGTAAAAAGCTGAACAATGATATCTTAGTATTCGTCGACCAGTTTCTGCGTTTGGTCCCCGATAATAGAAGAGGAGGAAAACCTTTTAGGACAACCTGAACTTATTGGATACAACGCATTGCTGTGCCAATACGCACAAAGCGCCGCACATGTACATTAGCTAGCTAGTAGCTACACAGATATGTATCGTTCACAAAGTCGCTCACCTTCATTTTATAGACATTTGCATGCGTGTGTGGTGAAAAACTGACCAGGCCCGTCTTTTCGATAGATCTAAAAGTAATGCAAAAAACCAACATTTCTCATGGTGCTTTAAGCAATTACGTTGCCAATTTTTGTTTAATTTCTATGAGTTACAAAATTTCAGCCAGCCAGTGGTTTAGACTTCCGTCTCTCTAATGAAAGGGCAGTTCTTTTTTCTGGGGTCATGGTACGTATTTTTGAAGTTATATAAGAGTCGAGCACGAGGTGTGGCACAGATTGCTGAATAAAACCCTCCCCCAACCCCCAAAGAACTGTCTTGCTACCTCCCTCCCCAGCATTTTCGTTTGCCTACCTAAGTATGCCAAAAAGGCCCTACCAAGCATAATTAGTGGCATATTTGTAATTATAATGTTCAAATAACCCATGCGGCCCCAGTCTCAGCGAATTCTGTCGGTTCCTAGTATTGAGTCAAACAAGTAAGTGGCCATTTTCAAACATGGTCAAAGGCAGTGGCTAGGCAGAGTGAGATCCGTGGCAAAACAAGGTCACAGGGTAAGAGCCCCCAACCTTTGGGCCCAAGATCGATCTTTTTCTGTTACTTCTATCCCCCCCCCTAGAATTTCAGCGCGAAAGCAGCACACATCTCCCCTCCTCTCCGACCCCGACCACCTAATTTCAGACATGGACGAGTGGACGCAAAGCCCACCATGGCGAAAACGCAGAGTCGTTGCGGGATCCTCATGCTTATAGGATTGCGGCATGGGCGCTCTGACGGTGGAATGGAAATCCAAGGTGGGCGGTGTCGGAGATGAGGGGAAGTGGAAGCGCTGCTTTTGCGATGAATATTCGTGGACTAGAAGTGGCAGAAAAATCGAACTTTGACCCATAGTTCCATTATAGGAGCTTCTACTCTGTAACCTCGTTTTGCCATGGGTTTCATTCTGCCGAGCCACTGCCTTTATTTTTCAAAATTGAGTTAGCTACCTCTTTTTGTTCTCTAACAAAGAATGGCTATTCCCTATATCCAGACCATGAATCTCTCTTCAAATAACCATCAAGCTATGGAACTAGGAGCCAGCCAAATTTCTTTCTTATTTTCGTTCACAGTGTTGCGCTTATAGCTCAAATACTAAAACCACGAGGTTTTGGCTATCGCACTGTATATAATCTGTTCCCTAAAATTCCTTCTTGGAGATAAGTTAATAGGGTGTGGATAACCCCAGAAAAGCTGTGGCTGTTACACCTCAGGAGTTGTGCTACACTCCATTAACTTACCTTCATACCATGATAAGCGGGAAACCTACTCGACTGCAGCTGCTAGAACAGTTCACCTTGCTAAAGCGCTGGCGCTTGCTGCTTAACAATTTGAACGTGAGTAAATGAGCCAAAAAAATGACGACATTTTTCAGGTGAGCAAATTTTTGGGTATAAGAGCTGGTAACTACTGACCTACTACCTCAGAATCACTTATTTGATCATTTTATTGATAAACAACCAGTAGCAAGACAAGATATACATCAATGGCGATCCGAGGGGAGGGGGTCGTATATGGATTACAAAAATGTGCAAGTGACTTGTTTATATTTGTAAATCACTGAAATATTTTTGAAATTTTTTTAAAGATTCAAGTTAGCCCTGTAAAAAAATTTTTTGGGGGCGTGGCTGCCACTCCACTTTTCCTAAGGTTTTGGGATCATGGGCCCACAAAATTTCGGAAAGCATCCCAAAAATTTTTATCGCCCCCTCCCGCCCGAAATCGTGTGATCGCTACTGATATGTATATGTACATATTCACTACAAATTAAGTGTGAAAGTACTACTCTAACGTGGGAAGAGTGTAAAGTTAAAGGTCGCAACCCTTCTGCTAATGTTGCTACAGGGAAAACCGTGCACTTGCACCGTGCACATTATATCATAAATTACTAAGGCTCTTTGCTTCGGTCATTGCTGAGTAAAACGGATTTGTTGTGACAATTCTGACTGGTGAGTTTTATTACACAAATTTATCTCTACTTCGGTAGATTTCACATGCCGTTTGAAGCTTTCACGGGTTGGCTGTATCGTATCGTGCTTCTGTTCTCTAGTATTTTGAGTTTCATAATGCGATTGTTTCAAATTCATTCTCTTTCTTTCTGTTCCGGATTATCACAATTTCTTAATGCAAAACTATGTAAAGTGCTCATAAAAGATTTGGCCTTTCCTAAAAATTTTGAAAATACCTGATTCTAAAAATGAAAACAAATTAAAAAAGAAGCAGTAGAAAAACGATTGCACAACTTGTGCTTCCACTAAATTTCCTTGAATTTTCTCGAACTGTCCTTTTTCTGTGGGTCGCAAGCGATTTGATGAGCTAGAGTGCGGTGTTAGCAAGTGGGATTCAATGTATCATTAGTTATCTGCTACAAAAGCAAACCAAGGCGTGGCTTAGTGTATACCACTGGTTGGGCACCTAACGCCCGACCCGGAAACAAACAGTCGTTTTTCTTACTTACGATTGAAAAATACTGCGAAAATATTGAGTTACGGTAACATGCTAAAGCTGCGCTACTATGGAATGGCGAGGAAAGGCGACAAGAACAAATATCTCCGATAGCCCAAGTGTCCTAACTTACATAGAAGAGCCTAAGCATCGTAATTTACAAAAAGTGATCTGAATGATTGGGCTTCTCTAATCCGAGATATCCAAGGCGAAAATGGAACAAACGAAATTTTGGCTTGCCCTCAGTTCCATAGCTTGGAGGCTATTTTAAGCGGGATTCCTAATGTAAGCGGAGAAGTCGTAGTTCTTTATTTGGGCAGCAAAAAGAAGTGGTCAACTTACCTTTACCGCAAAATTAGCATGTTTGCAAATGACCACTTGGGAGTGTTCTCTCAAAACTTTGAAGCAATATATGTGAAGACCAAAACATGTGTTTATTTTGCCATTTATGATTTGGGTTGTAGCAGCGATCGTTAAAATTGCATACGAAAAAGAGCTATAAACTCAACACCAAAAGACAACATGTTGCAGGTTGTTCTTACTGCTTCAAGCACTCTTTCAAGTCTCTATCGCGAGATAAGAAACCGTCGCGAATACTAATCAGCACGGCTTCCATAAAGTGGTAGTTGAGGGCTACTGAATCTCCGTATTCGTACTTCGGGAGTAATTTGATGTAATATCACTACACGTCATACATCGCACAATCGCGCAACAAAACATATTAAGGGTTATGATTGCACTATTTTCCGCCTTCTGCTCCTCGCTACGTTATGTTGTGCTCCCCTCTGTTTAGCATAGAGCCATTTGGTTCTCAAAATGTATTTCATTATCATAATGTTTTGTCAACTATGATGTTTGGCGTCATTTTCTTCAATGTGACTTTTTCTTCAAACTTTACCCGAACTTGGGCACAGTTTCCATAGCTCTTAGCTTACGACAATTTTACGAAAAGCGCCAAACTGAACTCATAATTCTCGTGGAAATTGAAATTAATGAAAGGCGAAGGGCCAGCGCTTTGATCAATGAGTACGTTTAAATTATTTGTGGCTTTCTGAACACGTCAGAACACTTGCTCCGCTTTGCAAATCGCGCCGCGACGTAATTGCCTGAAGTGCGCGTGAGGTTTTGAGTATTTTATTGATTGTATCTGTGCATGCAATGATGCGCCAAACGAACGTATTAGTTCAACAAGTTGGTCTTGTTATAAAACAAATGATGGAAAATCTAAGCATTAGTTCATCGAAAGATCAAACTATAATTACAGAAGGAAATTTATAACACTAAATAGGTTTATAGATCTAAGTATGATGAGGAGGGATGGATGGTCATACTGCAGCCATGGTGTGGATATTTGAGTTATCACTCTATTTATTGCTCGAGTTTACCTTTAAAACATGGGTAGTTTAAATACCTTGCAAGGAAGCTTTAGAACGCAAAAGCATAAGTAGTAGTCATCACCTGTCATGCCTCCTCAAGGCACAACGTTGTGCAGGTTTCAAAATGTCTGATTAATTCAAGGGAGATACAGCAAACTTTGACACTTAATGCAGACGACCCGCGGGCTTCAAATGCCTTGCCGCTTGATTCATGGATGCAGTTAAGGGTCGCGGGTGGGCAGCACTACAGCGGCTGACCCTAGGCTCTTAAATTTACTACTCAGATTAATCCCCGCCGCCGGAAGCTGCAGAAATCCAGATATTGCCCGGTGTAGTAAATCAAGGGGCGCGGTATGTCTGCTCTACTTTCTGAGTAATCTAGAGAACTACAGCTCGCTGTTTGCTTGTCTTTGCTAATTTGGTATACCTAAACCAGAAAGTAAGCTAGTGTTGGAGCAGAATTATTGAACAAAGTAAAAACATTGGATTGATATTTTAGCTGATATTTGGTGGCAACAACTACTAAATGCGTTGGCCTCTAACACTAAATGACTCTCGTGAATATGTTCTAAATATTCTTGAAAATCCACTGACTCTCGTTTTCAGTTGTTAGCACTTGGAAGCAGTTTTTTAGAGTGAGTGAAAGAAGGATTCCATCCAAAAAATTTTACGCAAATGTCTCCTTCAAAGCAAATTGTGCAAAGAGCTTTTTGCAAACTGTGCTTGCATAGCACCTTCTCCATTAAGATTCCATTCACCAAGCATTTGTGCCTTTAATACCGTCAACGAAACATTGAGACTTCTTATTTCTGAAGCAAGCATATTTGAGTGTGTACAATATGACATCGCTCTCATTAGCGCTAACTAGCGTTTATACTTCTTCACCCTTTTTGAGTTTGACCTGGTTACTTCGTGGTCTCATTAAGCAATGAAGTCAATGCGGGAGAAAATTCCCAAAATCAACACGTCCGCCTTGAAGAAAACGGCAGTTACTCCTGAAAAATGGAGTAAAAGGACTGCAGCTAGATTTGCTAAGCGAAGCAAAAGTGCTATAGGTACGGTATTCACCGTATTCCAATCATTACTAAACTTTTACATCTGTGGTTTTTAGACTATTTACGTGAGCGACTGGGACATCGTTTTTTCTTGATGTTGAGTGTAACGCTCAATGTTATTCTCTTAGTAATAATAATTGCCATTGTCGTTAAGGCGAAGAAAAAGCAAGGTTTGTTTCAATTTACTAATTTGACTATCGTCTTCGAGAGCAGCATTAGAACGTTACAACATTGATTCAATAACATTCACTTAAGGCAGCGGTGACGCTCACATCATAGCCCTTACTGATTGTCACTGATAAGGAGAGTTTGAGAGTGAAGAGTCAGATTTGTCGTTTTACGTCTTCTGACTTAACTGCTGCATTTAAAGCAATTTATGGCCAAGGTTTGATACCTCATAGCGATCATTATTTTGAAAGTATGAAAGCCTAGAACTTTAGCCTAGAAAAATTTAACATCCTTGTTTGGCAATTTAGAGTAGCCGAACAAGGATGGCAACTTGACTTTTGTTAGAAGATTAATTTTTTCGTTGTAGGGAGGAAATTACCACAGTTACAAGGGAATGGTCAGAACCCGAAGTGACCACTCCAAACATGCTGCATCGATGCAGCATAGGATGCGGATTTCAAAACCTGTCTTTCGTATACGCTGAACGCCTTTGCAGGCAATGTTATGAACAATTTTACTGCGAAAAATCATACCTATAAATTGCGAAGTTAAGCAAATTATCGCCTTTCAACTCCCCTCTAGATAGACCTTTCATAAGGTAACCTAGCTGCATGATTTAGTCCAGCATTGTTTCGAACGGCTCGTACGGCTAAATTTACCCTTTACGTGCACGATTCCCTAGCAAAATAATGGCTTTCAATGGCTTATAACTTCATCCACAAAAGGGTTAGACAGATAAGAAAGACAATTCAAAGTCAATATTTTATGCTGTATCTAAAAGTATGCGTCTTGCTCGGATTGATCACTTCAATTTTTACCATTTCCTTGTGAGCCGGAGGTCTTCCTGGTTCACACGAGTGGGTGCGGCTGTGTAATGTTGATCCACCAAGTAAACAAATCACATTATCGAGCAAATCGAGAAATTCAAACGAATTACGACCGCTCTACAAAACTTTGGTAAACTTTAAGTACGGTTATTACTCAAAAATTATATTAGTAACATCTTCCTGCAGATCTTGCTCAAATTTCTGAAAATTTTCCTACTGATTTTATCTCGCCTATGGCAGAAATCAAACGCAGTAATTTGGAAAAAGTTATGCTTTCAACAACAAACAAGACTTTCTGCGTTTCTTTTTATAAGCCCAAAACGAGCTGACATGATCTCGGCGAGCAACGCTGGAATAGTTCTAAGAGAGTTGCACAAAAAATAAATACAGCATATGCAAAATATGCTCGTCATAATTGTTTTAAATTTTAGATGACAACTCTGTCATGTTTTTTGCTATGTGCATTGGAGACCAAGTCAGTTTACATTGTTGTACAGCAAACCAATCTAACAACTTTGCAGTGTCAAAACTGTAAGTTGGCAAAGAATATGCGGCAGAGAACATAATGGAGTCACTCCTTCAAAAAGGTTTCTCTTCATCTGTATTTGAGAAGTGTTTTCCGCGAGTGAATTTTTGGCACCAATAATAGGCAGAGCGTATAACTTCGCAAACAGTTTTCTTAGGGACGAGGTCGAAGCATTGCAATCAACGCAATCCTTCAGAACATAAACAATACACGCACAGCGATTGAGACAATGGAAGACATGAAACAGATGTACGCCTATATTCTTTTCACCGACAACATAGAGATAACACCGTCAATGATACCGGAAGAAGCTCTCAAACGTCTTGATACTGTGGAAGCAATATCAGAATCATCTTATAGTCAAGAATCGTAAGCGTGATCGATGCGGCTTTTTCTAGCACATGCCAACTTTTCTTGAGTGTCTTGTTTCTGATGGTCGCTAGCAAGTGGGTTGGGGCAGATACATTGATACATAGTGTCGCCGTAATTAAAGTGAGGCCCATTTCATTTTTTGAACGACGAGTTTTAATCAAGAGTACAAACAAGATACTACGCCCCGAAAAAAGAAGCTTCAGCAGTGGGCAATCATCTGCAGTGGGCAATCTTCTCACTTTGTTCGAGAAAAGAATGGCTATTGCAGTAATTCAAAAAGCACAGGGGCTAATCGAGCATGCTGATCACCCCCGTGGGGGGTGATCAGAATGCTCGATGTTATATGTTATATATATGTATGCTATATGTCTTTTTTTGAATTATTGCAATAGCCATTCTTTTCTCGAACAAAGTAAGAAGATTTTCGTCCTTTTACTTAAAGGCAGTGGATCGGCAAAACTCAACAACTCAGGATTTTTACGCGGTAGGTTCCTTATCACCCAAATATGAAAACAGTGCAATCCCGGTTGCACAGCATGCCTTCCCTGCCGAGAAAATTGCCTCCAGCTTACACGCGCAGGCCAATCTTACACGCACCCGGACGAGTTTGCAATTTCCTTCTTACCATTGGAGGCTGCCCGCCGCAATGATATAACCATTGGGTCCCGCAACGGTTCAGCGTCATTGACGTTGCTCCACTAGTCCAATTCCAAAAGGAAAGGCATTTAAAAATGCTCGTTTTCGCCGTTTTCAAGCTCTCAAAAGTGGATTTTCGGGATCCGCGTATTGAATAACCCCAAGTAAGCGAGAATTTGACTAGGTTGAGATTTGCCGAGCCACTGCCTTCAAGACTTTTTTCCGTTTTCATTCCACAGTCAGTAAATCCAATTGGTAACCAGCATGATTGTCGTTTTTAAAGGCAGCCATAATGTTGACAACTTTCTCAGTTTGCAGACTGGAAGCTGTGCATAAATAATCAAGTCTCAACAACAAATTTGCATGTGAAAGAACTCAAAAGTTTTTGGAAATTTTCAGGTGAAACAGCGAACACTTCGAACACTAATTTTGTCACGACGACTATCACCATAACAAAGGCTATTACCAGTAGTGTTAGTACGGACAGGAGGAGTACATCAAGTACTGCGACTAATTCCACGAAGCTGATATTTACGACTTCTGCTACCACTTATGCTAAGAATACGACCAAGTCAACAATTACGACCACAAAACCGCCAGGTTTGTGCGTTTATACTGCTAAAATCATGATCATTCGCCTATGATTTTGGCTTTGCGATCAGTTTAGGGTATTTAATTCAAACATTGATTTGTATGCAACATGTTGTTTTAGTAGCGTAGTATTAGCTAACAGTTTAATGAGCTGGCATCTCAGTCACAATATATTTGCAATTCTTATACTAGGCTGCTAGATAAGTTATGGCCAACTTTTGTTATATTGTAATCGAAACACTTATTCTACTAGGTTTTCGCGTTCAGTGCGACACTGTTTGTATCGTTAAGAAGAGTTTTTCTTGCTCTTTTTGACACTACTTGGTTCTGAAACAAATTTCATGACGAGATTGCAATCCCAAAAAGTGCGGTTTATCGAAATACGGGCGCAAGTAAAAAACATATTTGTTAAAAAGCCACTCAAGCTAAAATTTAAGCTGCACTGCGTCCGATTGCACCTATGGCAGTGAATGTTTGGCCGTTTGCTATGTCACTCGCTTCCATTTATTTAGAGCAGAAGCAAAAATTTGCTTTCATCTTTGGATCATTACATAAGCACAAAATTCCAAAATTCAAACTTATTCAACATTGTACAGAACGTGCTAAAATATTTCTGTGTTTCGTTATGTAAGAAGGTTATTTCAAACAAGCATTTGTGATCATCAAGGAAAGGTATTGGACTCAAAATGGCCTTCCCTACCAAGATGTATACCATTATATCCATCGTGAAATGTTGATTACGAAGATGCTTCACTTATCTGCTTAGATAAAGCTATAAAATTACGACATTTCGTTTGAGCCCAAATAGTAGATTTGCCGCTTGTCACATGATTAAAGCAGCAGAATAGCTTCAAAATCATTCCGACAACTTTTCATGTACAATAAATATATCTCAGAAGTATGAGCATGTAACTTTATGTAACTTCGAAGCAAATTCGCATTTACTCGAGCTTACGTCTTTCAGACATTACCTGACCATGCAATTTGGAAGTAGAAAATTGCCTCTAATCTTGCTTAGTAAAGTTGAGAAGATATAGAAGTTCGTTTTGGAATTTGCGCGTAAAGACGTTTCCTGGTTAACATCTCATTGGGAAAGTCTACTTTGTTAGTGCCTTCACTTGTTAGCCATCAAAATAAAAAGGTATCTGACTACATTAGAGACGGACACATTTTGAGAGTTGCATGACTGATGCCCAGATTTGCTCCGAATAAAGAAATTATAAGTTATGGAAAAAGCGAGAAGTTTTCTGAAAGCCTTTATGTTACAATAATTTAACAGCAATATGAGATACTTTTGTGTTTGCAGTTCCATACAAAGGGCTACAACTCTTCTTAACACAGTTCTTTTTGATTTCAAAAGCCTTGCAACAGTTTGGAGCGTAGATCAAGGGAAAACCCTAACAAATATGAGGAGATGTTTCTAGGTGCATTTTTATCCTTTAGCGTGAGCCGCCGTTACTTTTTTACATGGTTTCAGAGTCGAGTAGAGAATGCTGGGAAATCTTTCTGAGGTAAAAGTGAAGCATGTTATATACAGGTTTTATATTTACAAATGTATTTTAATCTATGCATGTTTTTGAGATTGAGCTTGGGCTACTACTTTATAAATCCAAACAGCCAGCATTTTTGCAAGAATAACTCCAATAAAAGAAGTACTTGTTAGAATACTTTTGCAATCATAGAAAAAGGCTGTGCCGTTTGCGGTTTGAACCAAGAAAAACAATAAAAGAAGTCTATCAGCTTATTTTATAGTTTCGCAGCAAAAGTTCCTGTTGAAATTCAAACAAACCACAGATTTTTTACAAATGGAACGAAATTTCTTCCCAATAGTTGTATGTTCCAATATTTCTTTACACAAAGTAGTCCATAAATCAATATGAAGCTTCAATCTCGCATGAAAATGCAAAAACAAAAATTTGCGTAAATCTCATTTTACAGGGAAAACCACTCAATTACGGTACAAATTTGAGTGGGAAAAAACTTTTCATAGTTTCATTGAAACATTAGGTTGATATCGCCTGTTCTCAAAAAACACTCTCAAATAATAATCTTTCTTGTTGAATTTTTTGTTTCCACATCTCTATAGGGGATGAAATACTGCCACAGCATTCTATGAACAGTTGCTGCGCAGGATTTTTTTTGTGGATATTTTGCGGCTAGATAGCGGTTTTGGATCTAAACTCGAAATCGTAACCTTCATAAGACCATATTTAAAAGTTCTGTTCTCGGCATGCTCGTAGAATCACTATTTGGCATACACCGGGAGCGAAAAACTTCTCGTATTTTTGGGAAACAAAAGTGGTGAATTTGAGTTGAGGATTTTAAAAGTGATCGAATTTTGTTTAAAATCAGCAAGAGCTTTTATTTAGAACCTATTATTTTCTACTCTGTTTAGCAAGAACCAAAAGGCACCTTAACCCCATTTTACGCGATTTTTCTTGGATCAAAACGCACCAAAGGTGTCGCTCACAGACAGAAATCTTGACAGAAATCTTTATACTGACTTGTCCTTACTGATAAAACTGTTATCAAATGCAACCAACAGGGTATATTTACTGAGCGGTAACTTGTAGTAATTGTTAATCTGCTTTATTTAACGCTGATTCATGATTTGTATTATACGTGGCATACTTTGACGTATGCGTATGTAGAGCTTCAGGTTCACTCGATATACACTGTGCCTTCGCAGTGGACTTGGAAAATTTCAAACAAATTCATGAAATAGACAGGGTAAGCTGCTCTATACATAACAACGTCGCTAGCAAGTCAATTGAGGTACTGAAAAGACTATTGAGCATTCGACATTTGAACATGTGCTTCATGTATAATTCTGAAAGACCTACAAATAAAATCTTTTCTTTAGCAGAGGAAATTAATCAAGGATCTTGGTAGGAAAGTTATCGACACCAGCTCAAATTCAAGTGCAGGCCTTTGGGCTTACGGTAATGTGAAAGAAGCGAAGAAATTTGGGGACGTTTTCGGTGATATGATGGCTGATTTCTCAAAGTTCAGTATGAAGGCAGAAGATATTGTTGCTTTTGGTGACTATCGCTCTCCTCCTGATGGTGAAAAGTGAGCTTTTGTGACTTTTCCGAGCATCCCTCAGAATTACTTCAAATTTATTTTTTAGTACATTACAGCGTTATTGATCACATCAACAATGCAACCGACAAAAACAATGCCGCAAATTGTCTGCTATTCTTAACGGGCAGGTGGGTTACAAAGTGCACTTCGTAGTTTTGTTTTAACAGATATTTTCCTGTAAGCCATGAAGTCAGAATAATTATACAGTCAGAATATTTACAAAAATTATAATTAGGTAATAGGAATTGCCAAATTTGTACTTTCGGTAAACCATTCGTTGCTGGCTCTAGCGTGAACTCCTTCAGCATTGCATTTTCCTCCTTTCCCATTAAAAATGATTTTTCTTTTCTCTAACAATAGAGTAGTTCAGCAGCGTCACTGATAAAACGATATGAGATTGAATTCACAAGCGCAGAGACAGCGAACCAAAACCACCCTTTCTGTTGAATGCTTGAGAGCTTCCACCTCAGGCATATGGCAGCGTTACTTCTCATTGAGATAGTATCCCCATCACTTTTTGGCTCTGACACGCCTCTGCTGATAAAATCAATTGCCTCACAGTGACATTTTCGACGAAAAATGGAAAGATCTGAACTTCATGATAACAGCGATATATCGTCACTATGTGAGCGAGCTAAAGGTTGTACACAGAAAAGTTACGCGCACTTTTGGATTATCTCAAAAGCCTCTTTTCAATTTCTTTACCATTACGACGATGAAAATAAGCCTATAAAAAATTGAGGCTCTCAGATATCCACATTTTTAACTACTAAGCCAAGCCGTCGCGCAAAGAAAGTACAAAATTTTCTGCACTGTAGGTAAGAGGAGTAAAATTGATTTTCTTGAGTGGTGGCATGAAAATATTCATTGCTTTTAAATTCGGCATGATAGAAAGGAAAATAGTTCGGTTTCTAATAATTTTTGAATGCAGACAAACCTGAACATGGAAAGCCAGTTTAGAAAAGTGTCTTTAAAGCAGCAGCTTTGGAAGAAAAGTCATCAATGCCTCTACCACAAGAGACGGTCTTGTTTTCCAGTGCGGCTTTGCAGTTTAACTTGATTGGACGCTTACTAAGCTATGGATCCGTTAGTTTTTAATGTTAAAGACAAACTTGCATAATCAATAAAGAAGTTTCCGAGTCAGAATCTCCTTTTTTGCATTATTTTGGGTTTGGACAGCGAATGAGTGCTGTTCAGATGTAAGACGAACGTGTCTGGTGGGCATAGCTGTCACTACATCAAACAGTTTTCAAAAACATACCATGTCGCTACTTTTTTTACCTGTACCGTTTTGCAGCAAGGAGGAAAAGCCCGCTTGGAAGATTGACCCGGTTTATAATTACACGAGGATTGTGATCATCAGCTTGCAAGGTAAGCAGGGATCTGGGTCTCAGTGCCTCGTTGTTACAGAACATGTTAACCCACTAAGGACAATGTGGTTACTCACGCACTTTTTGCTGCCAGGGACGGTGTGGACCATGGGTGATCCACACATGTTGCAAAGACATGCCCTTTCTGGGTCTAGTGTTTCTTCCAAAAATTGATATTTCTTCCAATTCTATGCATTCTTGGAACCTTAGACTCCGTCGTTCAATAAATGCTTATGATTGCAACAAAAGAACCTTGCATTTTTTAAATAACCACACGCGCGTCACACAGCGCCGCCACGCAAAATTAGGCGTCGCCGTCAATGGGTTAAGGAAGAGAGAACCGCTTCAACGTGCATCAGATAGCCTTGTTGTGTCAACGTGAGGCATGATTATTCGTGCATCTCATCTACGTGCCTATAAATTCGATGCACAGTGTGCGGATTGATTTCTTGAAAGTTCTCTTACGTAAACACAAACTTATAAACATAAATAAATAAAAGAAGAACAAGGAAAAAAGACGTTCTTTTTCCTACGAAACAATGCGTTGGTTACCAAATTTTGAGCTACGATAAGAAACCCAGTGCGCATTCATCACTGATCTTTTCATTTTTTCTAGCGGCTAGATTCAGAGTCGGTTTGATTATTACTAAGAAAAAAACAAAAATTTGCGTTGCTTTTATTGTCTTCATGGTAATGCGCTGCAAAATTGGCCTTAGAATTTGACAGTAATGGGATTGATGGACAGAAGATTGCCTTCATTCACGCCTACTCCACTTTTTTATGTTAAATTTTGGAACATCGGAAATCAGTCAGTTGAGAAAAACGCTTAAAAGCTTTTGCTCACCACGTATGTAAGATGCACAATAATTCCAGGTGCCGATTTTACCAACAACGTTAATATTACAAGAGGCGTTTCCCGGAACGTAGACCTTAAGCATTTCAATGAGTCTGACATCCAAGCTGTATACGATGAAATCATGCGAAGCTTCAAGAGGAATTGGACTTACATGTACTCGAACGAAGACACTGAGTACAAGTATGTCTAGAATTTATAATGCTCTTTTGTATTTTGAGATTGTCACAATTATAGTTTCGAAACTTGTAAGTGCTACTGCGTATATGAGTATCGTTTTGATAATTAAAGCTTTCATTGTTCACTTTACAAATGCCAACAGCCAGAGAACAGGTTTTATGCTTGAGGCAATGTAATCCTTATCTTTCTCCAGCGCTTCACCGTTGATTATTTTATCTAGTATCTATGCATTTAGTGCTTGAAATAAGACACCTATACGATACGTGTATGTGTGCATTACTGTTGGAGTTGAAAATTCGCAATTCGGAGTATAAAACGTTCCACTTCAGTTTTCCTTCTAATGTTTCGTTGATGAAAGAAAACTTGACATAGAAAAAGCTTACTTTCCATCTTTTCTGCAATTTAAGCACAATTTTCACATTTTACCCTGCTTGACTTCAAATTGATGGAAATTTTATTGGTATGCTTGGCCCTTTGAACAAAAGAAGAAAGAAGAAAAAGAAAATTTGAACGCGCAAGGGCGTCTTTATCCAGCAAATCCAGTGATTGCCAAATTTTGAGCTACAACAACCAAAAACTTCCAGTACACATTTATCACGGTTTTCGTCGTCATCTAGCGACTAGGACAGAGTAAGTGCTAGTATTGCTAAAACAAAAGAAATTTGCACTGCATCATCATCATCCTAATCAGAGACATTGACTAAGCAACGAAAAGACTCTTGTCAGGCTTTTTTGGCAATGGGGCTTTCGTAAGCTCTGTACAAATAGGGGAAGGTGGACTTGGAGCTATTGTGACTTGGAAGGTCTAGTGCTTATCAACATTGAAATTTGGCAAGGATACATCTTAACCATTTCTTCTTGATATCTCTGGTTCTACCTTTTTTTACGTTGAATCTTGATTAATCAATGAAATTTCGTTGGAACTAGAGAAACGCTCTGGGCAAAGCTCTTGTTTTTCTGGTACGAAAAGTGCAAAATGATTTCAGGTGCTGATTTCACCAATAACGTTAAATACCAAAAGAGGTGTATCTCTCAATGTACTTGATCATTGCAATGATTTGGATATTGAAGCTGTATATAGTGAGATCGTGGGGGTTCACGTAAGAGGAACTGGATCTACATGTACTTGAGCGTAGGCATTGCAAATCAATAGGTCTAAAGTCGTAATGCTTTTTGTACTTTGAAACCGTCACATTTTTGTCTCAAAGCTTACAAACTGCTTCTCCATATCGCGCTTCGTTTCGGCACTCAAGGTTTCATCGTTCAATTTTCATTCTAATTCCAATCTGAGGATCTGCTTCATGCTTGCCGCAGCTGTATTGCTTATCTTTTTTAACATCTGTTTGCTGAATATTTTTGCGCACCTGTATGAAATAAGAAGACTTACACGATGTGTTCTAATGAATGAAATTTGATATTTACTGATTTTCTACGTGCTTTATCAGTCAATTCGATTGCAATCTGTGCAAAAGTTTGTGGAAATTTTGGGCGTGAAATGTTACGATTGGCAGCTGCATGGACAATTCTCAAAACGGTATTTTTATCTTGAAAAATTTTTGTTTAATCGCTTGAAGTGGCGAAAATTTGAAACCATCTTTTATTGCCTTGTTCGACTTCAATAAATTTCGGACGTTTTCAAATAAGCTTTGTAAGAAACAAGAGAGAAGAAAAAATGCGGTATGTAACTTTGTAAGAACACAAGTTATGCAGTGCTTCTTTCGCTCTTTCCAACTGCGTTTCCAGAAAACTTTGAAATAACTTTTCAAAACCTTGCTTTCAGAAAATTGAGTGATTTATCACGACATAAACCAAGAAAGCTTCTCAAAGGCATTGTCCAAATCAGTTTGGGGGTAATAGGTTTTGACGCAGTCGGGAGGACGACTCCTGACTAATACAATAGTTCAAGTCCGATCGAAAACGGTGGATTCTGAAGCAAGAAAATCTCTCCGCAAAAAAGGGCGATCCGCCAATCCCGCCTCCTTGACAAGTTTTGACGTGGTTAATAGATTAGATATACAGCATTCGCCACGTCAAAACTTGTCAAGGACGTGGGATTGGCGGATCGTCCCTTTTTCCGGAAAGATTTCCTCGCTTCAGAATCCACCTTTGTCAATCGGACTTCTACTGTTGGATTAGTCAGGAGCCATGCTCTCGCACTGCGTCAAAACCGCATCACCCTCCAATTGACCTGGATAATGCCTTTAAATTTCAAGTATTATTAGCGGCAAACCAGCTCTGCTTACTGAATTAGCTTTCTGCGCAAAATTATCAGGACGTGTATTTCGGTCACAACTGTGCCTTTGTAGGGAATCACGTCGTGCTACAATACAAGGATCTTAAAACTAAAATTGATTCGTTACATCATCCTAAATCTGCATTATCAGTGGGAGTCTTGAAATATCGAATCTAGTACGTAGTTCTTGAATAAAATTTAATTCTTACAAAATAGAATTCTAAGCAGCTGAGTTGGACAAGGCAAAAAAGTGGGACGAAAAATATACAACGACTAAGCGAGAAAAGATTTTTTTAAAATATATCTCCATACCATTTGATCATGGACAAATATAAGTAACAACAGCTTTCAAACCAACTTAATCTCATACGTAGAAAGCCTTACAAAACTTGCGTTAAGGCGTAGATTCAGAAACATAACAAATTTTCTCTCTTGTAAAATAAATTACTAAATAAGTACTGATAGATGATAAACAACTAGGAAAATTAAATCATAAGAAAGCCTTAATAAATCTAACAGTTCTGCTCTAACAGAGATACTTGGCCTTGTGTTGAGTATCTTTTGGCAGCTCGTCGATCTGTGCCCATTTTCGCAGAATTTGCAAGAGGCTCCTGCCTTCCAAGTTCCTTTTGATTCAGTAGGGCTCTGTGCAGAATATCAAAATTGCTCTTTGCATAAAAGCATGTGATTTAGGTTTTTTCCTGTAGACATTGTAGATGTCATTAAAAGCACCGTTCACCCAAAGCTGGGGTTGATGAGATTATGATGACATACTAGCGTGGGCCCTTAAACTATTCAACCCCCAAGTTGCGCAGCAGAAGGCTGCTTCCGGAGCAAGAAATCCGCTCCGGAAGAGACGCAATCCAACGATGGTCACTCCGCCCACCTGTTCCCTCTCCCACTTTGCAGCTTTGCAAATGACGCGCCCGGTGTATAACCGCGCCCGCAGCCGCGACCTGCATTGCACCCTTCCAAAACGAGTATTTGGGGGTTTCGAAGATTCTCGATACTATATTCGAAATCAGGACCTTCAGAAGGCCTGGAAGCGACACAAACATGGAATCCCAGGATTTGGGTGGACGGTGCCTTTGAGCCATTGGAAGGCCCATTAGGACTTTTGCTCTCCCTTATATTGCAGTCTTTTCTCCATGGCTGCTTTTTTGCATGCATGGAACTTTTGCACAATTTATATTGTATTTTTAATTGGTTATTGAGCTGCTCATGCTCTACTGACTGTGCTGCAATCGTTGACAGTTTTCTCAACTGTCGCTGTTCTATCGTAATGGGTCCCCTTGCTACACAGTTATGTAGGCTTCTATACAACTCTAAGTCGATGCCGATGCCGTCCTTGTTGCCATTCCTCATGATGATGTTGGATTGCCTTACGTGATTATTTGTTGAGACGAAAAACTATAAAACTAATTGTCTCGCTTCCTCACTTACGACTCCATGCCTTTCCCCGTGCATCGTCCGCCTTCTAAAGATTGCGAAGAAGCGCTGAGCGCTAACTGTTACTATGTCGAGCAGTTTACCGCTGGTGAAGTTCCATAACTTCGAAATCCAAAGCTTTATGGTTATTGTGCTGTATCACTCTATTCTTTGGCAAGATGCAAAGTTTGAAAAAAACATAGTGGAACAATCGCAAAAAAAGCATTGCACTATTTGAGCTGTTCTGTCTCTTACAAAGTCTCTTCCAAAAATTAGCACATGTTTGAAAATGATTAAAGTTGGACAAGGTAAAAAGAATGGCTGAAATTTGTAGCGAATCATGCGAATAAACAAAGAATCTTTGAAAGGCGGCAGCTAGTGATGCGCAATGAATGCGATCCAAGTAGCTTGTCTATCGTAATTGAGTCGAAAAGCTACACTTTTTGCGGAGACTCAATAAATGAAACAACTATGGAGCACATAAAAAATTGCATGAGTAAGTGTCGAAAGAAAACTAAAGTAGAACGTTTTATACACCGACTATATGGCGAATCTTCAACTCCAACAGTGATGCACACATACACGTATCGTATAGGTGTCTTATTTCAAGCACTAAATGCATAGATACCGTAGATAAAATAATCAACGGTGAAACGCTGGAGAAAGATAAGGATTACAGTTGCCTCAAGCACAAAACCTATTCTCTGGCCGTTGACCTTTGAAAAGTGAACAATGAAAGCTTCAATTATCAAAATGATACTTAATACTAGTAGCTTAGAAGTTTCGAAACTATATTGTGACAATCTCAAAATACAAAAGGGCATTATAAATTCTAGACATACTGGTACTCAGTGTCTTCGTTCAAGTACATGTAAGTCCAATTCCTCTTGAAGCCCCGCATAATTTCATCGTATACAGCTTGGATGTCAGACTCATTGAAATGCTCAAGGTCTACGTTCCGGGAAACGCCTCTTGTAATATCAACGTTGTTGGTAAAATTGGCACCTGGAATTATTGTGCACCTTACATATGTGGTGAGCAAAAGCTTTTAGCAAAGCGTTTTTCTCAATCTAACTGATTTCCGATGTTCGAAAATTTAACATATAAAAGTGGAGTAGGGGGTGAATGAAGGCAATGGCCAGGGGAAAAGGCATGACAATGAACGCGTCATTCTGAGCATCAGCCCCATTACTGTCAAATTCTAAGGCCAATTTTGCAGCGCCATTACCATGAAGACAATAAAGGCAACGCAAATTTTTGTTTTTTCTCTTAGTAATAGTCCAAATCGGCTCTGAATCTAGCCGTTAGAAAAATGAAAAGATCAGTGATGAATGTGCACTGGATTTCTTAGTTGTCGTAGCTCAAAATTTGGTAAGCAATCGAACTGTTTCGGTAGGAGAAAGAAAGTTTTCCCCTTGTTCTTCCTTTATTTATTTATGTAATTTTGTTTCCATGAGAGAACTTTCAAGAAATCAAAATCCGCACACAGGGCCCGGCACCGATGGTTTGAGGTCAAACAGGACTTCGTTTTTGGAGTTAGAAGCAACGGGGACATCGTTTTTATGAGGTCCTGGAGGAAGCGCCAAAAAACACGAGCAACATGTCAGGTTTCACGAATGAGCGTGTTCTTTCGCAAGCGAGCGAATTTCAAATGCATGACTCAAACAAACAAATGGCTTGTTTACAGCGCACAAACAATCACATGGCTCCGAATTGGGGCTATGAGTATACAATATTACTCCAAACTATGTTATGTAAGAAGTTCCCAAAACTTATGTGTCCTAATATCCGTCCTCGAATTTGTTGGTTTCTAGACCAACTACCAAACCAAATGGGTTGGTTCGGAGCATAAATATCGGAGAGTTCACATAAGTTTTGGACCTTTTTGATTTGGACGATTAGAACGGTCAAAAATCTATCATATAGTGAAGAGAGTGGACCAACCGTTGCCTCTCCCCTTCTTTTGAGTCAAAAGTAGTATAATTCTAAGCGTTGATAGATATCGCGCTCCAATCACTTGCGGCGTCCTTTGAAATATGTGGCGAAAAATGCGTCGCAGGATTGTTGAGGCTACAGATTTGGTTGGCCTAGGAGATTCTCGACATTCCCAGCATCAAAATGGTACTATACACAATGGCAGAGCCTTTAATCGAATCGAAATGTTTTTTTTTGCTTTTTTGTTATATTACGTACCTCAAAATGCGCTTTTTTCGCTTTTTTGTTGCTGTTTTGATTGAATAAGGGTTTCTCTACTGATTTTCACGTCGAGAGGGACTTCGTAAAATTTCGCGAAGTCATGGGGGACTTCGTTTCCTAAAAACCTCCAAATTAACGCGTGCCGGGCCCTGTCCGCACACTGTGCATGAATTTGTAGGCACGTAGATGAGATGCACGAATAATCATGCCTCACGTTGACACAACAAGGCTATCTGATGCACGTTGAAGCGGTTCTCTCTTCCTTAACCCATTGACGACGACGCCTAATTTTGCGTGGCCGCGCTGTGTGACGCGCGTGTGGTCATGCACAAAATGCAAGATTCTTTTGTTGCAACTATAAACATTCATTGAACGACGGAGCCTAAGGTTCCAAGAGTGCATAGAATTGGAAAAAATATCAATTTTTGGAAGAAACACTAGACCCAGAAAGGATATGTCTTTGCAACATGTGTGGATCACCCATGGTCCACACCGTCCCTAGCAGCAAAAAGTGCGTGAGTAACCACATTGTCCTTAGTGGGTTAATATGTTCTGTAACAACGAGGCACTGAGACCCAGATCCCTGCTTACCTTGCAAGCTGATGATCACAATCCTCGTGTAATTATAAACCGGGTCAATCTTCCAAACGGGCTTTTCCTCCTTCCGGCTGCAAAACAAGACCATCTCTTCTTAAGGTAGAAGCATTGATGACTTTTCTTTCAAAGCTGCTGCTTCAAAGACACTTTCCTAAACTGGCTTTCCATGTTCAGGTTTGTCTGCAGACAAAAATTATTAGAAATTGTTAGCTCGCTCATATAGAGACGATATATCGCTATCATAAAGTTCAGATCGCTCCATTTTTCTTCAAAATATCACTGTGAGAATAATGATTTTATCAGTACAAAGTGCTGTACAAAAAATGTTCTGTCAGAGCCAAAAAGTGATGGGGATACTATCTCAATGAGAAGTAACGCTGCCATATGAGCTTGAGGTGGAAGCTTTCAAGCATTCACTAGAATGGGTCGTTTTGGTTCGCGATCTCAGCGCTTGTGAATTCAATCTCATATCGTTTTATCAGTGACGCTGCTGAACTACTCTATTGTTAGAGAAAAGAAAAATCATTTTTAATGGGAAAGGAGGAAAAAGCAATGCTGAAAGAGTTCACGCTAGAGACAACAACGAATGGGTTACCGAAAGTACAAATTTGGCAATTCCTATTACCTAATTATAATTTTTATAATTATTCTGACTCTATAATTAATCTGACTTCATAGCTTACAGGAAAATATCCAGTAAAACAAAACTTTGGCATCCAAGCTACGAAAAACGATGGTCTCTGTGAACGTAATCGGCTTCCTTCCTTAAATCTACTTCCGAAATGTGTTTGAGATATTTCACTCTTTTTGCGTAAAAAAAACAATTTGGTACACAAAAGTGGTTGTTTTTGCACGTTCCCTTCGAGCACAAGGTCACAAAAGGAGGTAATGTATCTTCGTACGGCTATCTCTGTTGCAGTCTCCAAACATCCGTATTTTCATCCATAACAGAGACTGATTTATTACTTTCACCCAAAAACCTTTAAGATGGTTGATGCTGTATATATCACGAAGTGCACTTTGTAACCCACCTGCCCGTTATGAATAGCAGACAATTTGCGGTATTGTTTTTGTCGGTTGCATTGTTGATGTGATCAATAACGCTGTAATGTACTAAAAAATAAATTTTGGTAATTCTGAGGATCACTCGTGGAAAAGTCACAAAAGCGCACTTTTCACCATCAGGAGGAGAGCGATAGTCACCAGGAGGGAAAATATCTTCTGCCTTCATACTGAACTTTAATTAATAAGCCACCATATCATCGAAAACGTCCCCAAATCTCTTCGCAGGTTGATGTAAACTACCGTAAGCCCAAAGGCCTGCACTTGAATTTGAGCTGGTGTCGATAACTTTCTTACCAAGATCCTTGATTAATTTTTTCTGCTAAAGAAAAGTTTTCATTCGTAGATCTTTCAAAATTATACATGAAGCACATGTTCAATAATTTTTTCAGTACCTTAAATAACTTGCTAGCAACGTTGTTGTGTATAGAGCAGCTTACCCTGTCTAGTTCATGAGTTTGAATTTCTTTAAAATTTTCCAATTCCGCTGCGAAGGCACAGTGCATATCAAGTGAACCTGAAGCTCTACATACGCATACGTCAAAGGTATACCACGGAATATAATACAAATCATGAATCAGCGCTAAATAAAGCAGATTAACAATCACTACGAGTTACCACTCAGTAACTTTCGCTGCTGGTTGCATTTGCGAACAGTTCCATTGAAAAAAGAACAAGTGACACTATAATGATTTCTGTCAATTTTCTGACCTATACCCATAATCCTTGGTGCGTATCTAAGAAAAAATCCGCGAAAATTGGGACAAGGTGTCTTTTGATTCTGTACAAGATATTAGATTTAAACGAAAGCTCTTGCTCAATTCAAGCAAAATTTGATCACTTTTGCTCAGCTCGAATTCATCATTTTTGTTTTACAAAAATAGAAGAAGTTTTGTGCTCTCCACGTGTGTCAAATAATGCTACGAGTCTGCCGAAAATAGAGCCTTCAAATATGGCCTTTCGTAGATTACGGCTTCGAGTTTAGATCCAAATCTACAAAGAAAATCCTGCACAACAACTGTTCATTGAATGCTGTGACAGGATCTCACCTTGCATGGAGAGGTGGAACCAAAAAATTCAGCAAGAAGGATTATTTCATAGGAGCGTTTCTATAGCGCAGTTTCCGCAGATACCGGTTTGAGAAAAGAGGGTATCAACCTAATGTTCTAATAAACGATTCGAAGTTTCCTCCTCATTAATATTTTTGTTGAAAAAGTGCGGTAACTGAGTGGTTTTTCCTTGTACAATGAGGTATACGCAAATTTTTGTTCCTGCATTTCTATGCGAAATTGAAGGCTGTCACGTTGATTTGCTGACTGCTTTTGCTCTGACTGTGTAGAGAAAAATTGTGGATTCTCTAAGAGTCGACATTTCGCAATTTGCTGGCACCAAACAAAAAATCGCGAAATTCGAAAATTCACTCTTGAGAGCTTCGTCCTTAACGGCTAGCTCATAGAATAGGCTAAAACATTTTTGTAGAGCGCCTTCAACTATTACAGAATGAAGGTCCAGGATTTTGAAGGTTAAGATTTCATTTTTATTCAATTTATGCAAAACTTTGTTGTATCTATTAAAGTGTGTTGTTTGTTTGCTGCCACATGTTGTGATCTTGTGAGAATTGAGCAATGTTGTGGTCCTCCTCTAAGCGCGTGCAGACGCAGACAAAGTTACATCACTTGGAAAAACCGTATGTCGTCAAAATACGCTCAAGAATGCACTAGTTTCTTTGTTTGCAATACACAGCTTAGCTTATTGTTAGCGCATGTGGAAAATGCTAAAGTTGGGTCAGCAGGCGATTTTTTCTATTATTGACAAAAGCGTCTTTCTCAGGTTAGCAGCAGCATCATTAAGTAATCATGAGCAATTGTGTCAAGGTTTATTTATCGACCAAGAAAAGGGAAGTATAGAATATACGTAGACGTGTTGTTAGTCTCTTACTTTTTACGATTGGATATGATGCTGGAGAGTTTTTCTATAGTTGCTGAAGATCAAAGAGAGAAATCCACAATGACTTTTGTTATAACCAGTCAGCAGCAATAAAACATGAACATATGCAAAAAAACTATCCCAACTTTTTTGGATTTAGAAGAAGTTTGTAACATAATAGCTTGTTAATCCTATGAAATCGTAACTGATATGCTGTTATGGAACAATTGAGCAAGAATGCTCAGTTATCAATCAAATGTTTGGTGTGATTAGGTGTTTAATTCATAATCGTAGGGCAAAGAGTGATTTTGAAATTGATTTTGACTTTATAGCTATGCTAAAAGCGCACTCTGACGCATTACGAGAGGGGAGGGGGGGGGATGAAATTAATTCAAGCCTTAAATGTACCAACCTGGTGGCTTTGTCGTGGGTACGGGTTTTGTCGCATTTGTTGTGCTCTTAGCAGTTGTTGGAATCAAGGCAGATGTACTGCTCCGCGCAGTGGGACTATTCGTGAGAGTAGTTCTCGATGCAAGAATCGTAGTAGTCGCTTTTGTGCTGGCTCTTGTGCTTGTTTCAGTAGTCGAAGTGTTCTTTGAACTTGAAGGGCTGCTCTCAGTTATTTCACTCTCAGAGGTTGTTGTCCTTTTCACAGTAGTAGTACTTATTCCTTTGTCTGAAAGGAGAAACTAAGGCCACTGACAATTGAAATATCTTCAATATTTGTGTTGAAGTTTTTAGTATAACTTTTTTGTGAAATCAAGTAATCCTATAGAGTTCTTGATAAAAAAAGTGATAACCCTTTGGATGAGCAGCTGCAATCTATATCACACGCTTCAAAAGACAAACTTGAGCCTTTCCAAAACACATTTTTGTTTATTGCAAAAAAGTGCCTTCCGTGGATTATTGAAATCGGGAAGCTAGCTTCAAATCACCTGAAGACTGCGTCGTCGCAAAGGTTGGTGGATCTGTCGTGTAACCTCCTGAATAGCTGTGGATGAAATAAAAAGGGTGTCAATCAAATCGTTAAACTAGCAGTGTTTCTAGTTTCTAACAGTAATTTGATAAAGTCGGAAGTAGCTTTTTAAAACATGCTCGTCTTCAACATCCACGCGGCTCCTTTGTGAGCAGTCCGTATTATTCTGCAGACTTATCAATAAATACCTCATTGTGTATTAACAGTGAAAAACTTTTGCAAGAATTATCCCAATATTGGAGCATCGTGGAACAATAATTTGACAAAGGAAAGATGGAATTCCGGTAAAACTGCGGCATCAGAATTTTTTCTAACGAAACTCCAAATGATGGTAAGGCAAACGGAAGCGAGCAAAGCAAACAAGTTCTGAGGTCCCTTTTTGCTTTACTCGTCACCCAAACCTAGGCGATAACAAGTTCGTTCGCTAGTTTTTCAAAAAAATCATAACTTCTTTCCTTCTGGATGGATTTTCTCGAAATTATAAACATTTAAAAGAAAAAACTATGCCTTTTTCCGCAGTTTTTCGGCCGTGAGTTCATATGAGAAATTGTGAGAGTTAAGGCAATTGAAGGGAACACTCAGGACTGGCATTTTTGCAGGGTCACGAAAAATTCTGAAACTATTTTTGTCAGAAAGAGAAAGTTTTGCACATTACAGTCGTACCTTTACCATGGATTATTATGCAATAGTTCACGAGTCAGAAGCGTTTGAAGAGAATTGCTCCAATTTTGCAATTTTTGAGCACGCTCAAAAAAACCTGAAAAGCCATAGCTGAGATCGAAACAGTTATAAATAAAGGTTTTATGACCTCCTCTTTCTAGCTAAGGAAGTTACATGCTAATCGAGAACAGTTTGATTTTCGTGAAAACGGATAGCAAATACCTAAAAAATCACTATTTTTCTTAAGAAATACTGATTTAATAAAATAGTGATTTTTTCAGGATCATATCCTATCGTAAAAAGTAAGAGACTAACAATACGTCTACGTATATTCTATACTTACCTTTTCTTGGTGGCTAATAAATAAACCTTAATACAACTGCCCATGATTACTTAATCATGCTGCTGCTAACTCTGAGAAGAGCTTTCATTGATAAAATAAAATGTCTGCTGACCCAGCTTTAGCATTTTCTAAGTGCACTGACAATAGGTATCTGGCATTGCTGGTGGGTTTTGCAAACATGGTAAATCTCCGAGCACATTTAATCTTTATTCAATATTTTTTATTTTGCATATTTTGCACAACGTAATGTTTTTCCAAGTAATCTAATTTCGTCTACGTCGGCACTGAGCATGGAGGAGGACCTTAACATTGCTCAATTCTCACAAGATCACAACATGTCTCAGCAAAGTAACGACAGACTTTTATTAGATGGAGCAAAAGTTCTTGCAAAAATCGAATGAAATTTGAATCTTCCAAATCCTAAAACTTTATTTTGTTTCAATATTTCAATATTTGCGCTCTACGAAAACGCTCGAGCCTAAAATTCTATGCGCTACACCAAAAACGACGCTATCAAGAGTGGCTTTTCGAATTCTGTGATTTTAAGTTTGGTGCAAGCAAATTGCGAAGTGCCGACTGTTAAAAGATTTAATATTTCTTAACACAAAAGTAGTTCATAAATCAATATGAAGGCGGCTTCAATCTCGCATAAAAATGGAGAAACAAAAAATTAGCGTAAATCTTATTTTACAGGATAAATCACTCAATTACCGCAATTTTTCAGTAAAAACATTGGTTGAGAAGGAAACTTTACACCATTTTATTGAAACGCTAGATTGATAACATCTGTTCTTAAGCCGTGTGTTATGAAAAAAAAACTGCGACAAAGACACTCCTATAAAATAATCCTTCGTCAGGAATTTTTTGTAGATTTGGATCTAAACTCGAAACCGTAACCTAGGGAGGCCATATTCGAAAGCTCTATTTTCGGCAGACTCGTAGTATTACTAAACATACGTAGAGAGCACAAAACTCCTTCTATTTTTGGAAAACAAAAATGGTGAATTCGAATTGAGCAAAAGTGATCACGTTTGTTTGAATTAAGCAAGAGCTTTCGTTTGAATCCTAATATCTTCTACAGAATCAAAAACACCTTGTCCCAATTTTCGCGGATTTTTTCTTAGATGAAAACGCACCAAGGGTTATAGGTATAGGTCAGATAATTGACAGAAATCATTATACTGTCACTTGTTTTTTTTATCGATGTGGAACTGTTCGCAAATGCAACCAGCAGGTATCGCTAATCTGTTTAATTTAGCACTAATTCATGATTTGTATTGTATTCCGTGGTATACCTCCTCTGACGTAAGTATATAGCAAGTTTCAGGTTCGATTGGTATACACTGCGCCTTCGCAGCGGACATGGAAAATTTCAACGAAAATCAAACTCATGAGATAGACGGGGTAAGGGTACATACTGCACACTGTGTCGCTAGCAAGTCATTTGGTACTGGAGGACTACTGAACATGCGTTTGTTGTATAATTCCAGAATGACCTATAAATAATCTTTTCTTTAGCAGAAGAAATTGATCAAGGATCTTGGTAAGAAAGTTATAGACACCAACTCAAACTCAAGTGCAGGCCTTTGGACTTACGGTAATGTGAATCAAGCGAAGAAGTTTGGGGACGTTTTCGATGATATGGTATGTAATTTCTCCAGTTTCGCTTTAAAAGCAGAAGATCTTTTTTGTTTTGGTGAGGAACGCTCTCCTCCCGGTGGTGAAAAGTGCGTTTCTGAGATTTTTTGATTGCAAAATCATCGAAATTATTGTTAGATTTATTTTTTAGTACATTACAGCCTCATTGACCACATCAACCAAGCAGGCGACAAATACAATGTCGCAAACTGTCTACTATTTTTAACGGGCAGGTAGGCGAAAGAGTGCTCTTCGATATAAGGGCTTGGTCATAGGAATTATCGTATTAGGCTTCTTGAGGTACATGTATTTAGGTTTTAGTATGGACGCGCAAGTAAATGCAGATGTTTGAAATTTGTAGATTCGAAAAACTTACCTGTTATTACAATCTAAAAGAGCATTCCTTTACAGTGTTTACGACATCTTGGACTTGGTAGAGGGGGGGGGGGGAGACTAGAGTTTTTGTTTTCTCTTCACGCAAAAAAAAGAAGATCACATGAGCATTTTTTGTAGTGATAACCTGAAGAAGGGAGACTTATAAAAAATGGCACACTGTAAATTCATCAGCGTATTTTTACAAATACATCAGATTTTCAAAGCTGAAGGAAAGTTCTTTCATAATCAATATTTCTAAATCAACCACTTTTCTTGTCAGATTTTCAAAGCTGAAGGAAAGTTCTTTCATAATCAATATTTCTGAATCAACCACTTTTTTTTGCATAGTCCTAATTCTGGATGTTTGATGTTTGTTAAAAGGGTGGACATTTATAATATGAATGTGTACTGTGTGCATAGCTGTCACTACCTCAAACCTAAAGCTGCTGAAAAAACGTACATCGCAGTTACTTTGTTCATCCAAGTTTTGCAGCAAGGAGGAGAAGCCGGTCTGGAAAATCGACCCCATTTATGATTACAACAGGATTGTGATCATCAGCTTGCAAGGTAAGCAGAGATCTGGGTATTACTGCCTCGTCGTAATGGAACATGTTACGGACGAGAGATATATATGAGTCAGATAGCCTTGTTCGGTAGATGTGAGCCATAATTCCTCGTGCAAATTATCTACATGTCTAAAAGTTCGATTCACAGTGTGCGATACGATTTTGTTTTCTTAGAAAATTTTTCAAGCAAACGTCAGCAACTGAATGAATAGAAGAAAAAGAATAAGGGAATATTTCTTCCTACCAAAACAGTCCGATGGTTACAAAGTTCTGAGCTACGACAACTGAGAAAGCATTCAATGCGCATTCATCACTACTCTCTCCTTTTTCCTAGCAGCTAGATTCAGAACCGGAAAGGAAAATTTGCGTGTCATTATTGTTCTCAAGGTGATAGCTCGGCAAAATTGGCCTTAGATTTTGACTGTGGGCCTGATGGAAGTTCAAATTGTTCAGCATTGGGTCGGAAAGTGGCCTTTGAGTTATCATTATGTACCTGGAGGCTCTCGTGTCTATCAGCACCTAATGCTGACAAGGGTGCTTTCGCTTAGCCATTGTTCTTAAACACTTCTTATTTTACCAATCTTTTATGTTTTTCTTAAGAGTGCAGCAAACAGTTATTAGACTAGGAAGAGTCCTTATGAAACAGCTGCTGAGTCTGACATCCAAGCTGTATACAATGAAATCGTGCGCGGTTTTATGAGGAATTGAACTTACATGTACTTGGAAAACATTGTATACCAGTATTTCTAGAAGCGATGACGTTCGCAGTCTTAGATTGTTACAAGTTTGGTCTAAAAGCTAAGCTGCATATTCCATATGCATTGTTTTGGTAATTGAAACTTTCGTTGTTCAATCTTTGCTCACGCTTGAGGCAACTGTATTCTTTATTTTCCTCCAACATCTTACCATTCATATTTATATCTAAGCATTTGGTGCTCAAAATAAGTACACCTACACGAAAGGTATGTGTGCTTCACCGTTGGAGCTGAAAATCCCCATATCTGGGTATAAAGTTCTACTTCAGTTTTCTTCCTGATGCCTCGTTAATAAAAAAAATTGGACATGAAAAAAATGCCTACCATCTTTTCTGCAACTTAAGCACAGTTTCCAAGTTAGTTTCATGCTGCCTGACTTCAGTTTAAGGTAAATATTTTTAGTAAACTCAAGCCTTTGAATAAAAGAAGAAAAGAAGAGACAATGAGTCTGAATTTTTGTTTCTTTCAGCAAGTCCAATGATTAGCAAATCTTAAGCTAAGGCAACCAAAAAATTTCGCGCATTTCACTGCTTCGTCGTTTTCTAACGGCTAGGTCAGAACAGCTGGGAATATGGCTAAAAGGTACAGGTAAAAACAAAAATTTGCACTGCATCATTACTGTCCTCATCAAAGACAGTGCCTAAGCAAAAATGGCTCTTGTCAGGCTTTTTTGGTAATGGGGCTGGCGTAAGACCTTGAACAAGTAGGGGAGGTGGACCTGGAGCTGTTGCGTACTTGGAAGGTCTGGTGCTTCGAAACTGTTAGATTAGAAAAACGATATGCCACTACGTCAAGAAATTATAACAACGCTTTTGTTGTCTTAATGCCTACAATTGCTACTCCATATTGCATTGTTTTGATAAAAAAGTTTATACAGCTCAATTTTCATTCTAATTCAAACTTTGAAGGATCTGATTTCTTGTAGCAATCGTTTTACTAATCATTCTCTGTCTGTTACCTATTTATCTGCGCACCTGATGTGAAATACGAAGACCTACACGATTCTCTAATACTAAAGTTTAAAAACCGCGATTTACTGAATGTATAAAAGGCTCCGCTCAAGGTTTTTATTTATTGCATATTTATATACTTTCTGTGTGGTTTATCAGTCCTTATAAATGAATCTGTGCAAAGTTTGTGACGATTTTGGGCTCGAAATGCTACGATTGTCAACTGCTTGGAAATACTCAATTTGGCATTTCTAACTTCGAAGATTCTTTGCGTTTCGCTTGAACTGACAAAATTTTCAATTTTTGTTCTTTTTGCTTTGTTCGACTTTAATATGTTTCAGACCTGTATTCTCAAAGTTTTCAGATAGGCTTTGTAACAGACAAAAGAGAGGAAGAAAAGCATTATGTAGTTCTTGTCAAAGCAAAGCTTATGCAGTGTTTTTTTTCGCTCTGCCCAACTGCGTTTCTAGAAATAAAAATTGACTTTAAAATGACTTTTCTGAAAGCCCTTGCTTTCAATCAAGTGTTACATCACAATAAAAACCAAGAAAACTTCTAGATTAAAAATTTAAAAATTTACTACTGGTAAACCTGCTCTGCTTGCTGAATTAGCGCTCAGCGAGTAATTATCAGAGCGTGCATTTCGGTCACAGCTGTGCCTTTGCAGGGAATCACGTCGTACCTACAACGCAAGAAGCTTAAGGGAGAAAACAATACTTTACATCATTCTATATCTGAATTATCAGCTGGAGTTTTAAAAGATCGAACCTAGTAAGTGAAAGTTTTTGAATAAATTCCAATTCTTACAAAATGAGAATCCTGAGAACCTGATGTTAGACAAGGTACATAAGATGGGACGGAAAATATTGACGTCTTAGCGATCACTTGCGAATTTGAACTGGACTTCCTACTATATTTCTCCATACCATTCTATCACGGATCAATATAAGGAACAGTAGATACCTTTTGCAGCAACTTGTTTATCCTCTACGCTTAGGACGACAAAAATTGCATTGAGACATGGATTCAAGTACATAGCAAATTTTCTCTTTCGTGAAATAAAAAATTACTGAATAAATGCGGGTAAATAATAAATAACTAATAATCAACAAAATTATATCGTAAAGAAAAAAATTATATCGCATTGTATCATTATCTCCAATAAATCTAGCAGTTTTGCTCGAGAAGAAAGACATGATCACATCGAGGTGTAGAGCAGAAACATGAATTTTAAGAAAAGAACAAGGCGGGAGCTAGTCATGCGATTTACAGTCATACTCGGTCGATTGACTTGTTGTAGAGAACGCTCAACTCGGCAGGTTAAACGGTATAATGTCCTCTAATTGTCATTAGTGTCTCCTCCATTGTTCTTCTCTGGGTGCATAGCAAGCGACATTTAGGCACAAATGAATTGAGTAATAGTGGTCACTAATAAAAGATAATATGCCAAATATGCAAGTAGAATAGCGGAAATTGAAATGTTTTATGCTAATCTGTATAGTTTCCAACAACAGCCTCAAGCTCAAACTTGCGTGGAAATTTCAAATGTTTCTTCAGGTATTTAGAAAATAAAAATTTGAAAAATCTAAAATTCAGGACGTTGCCTGTCTCATTTTGTACACTTTTCAATATCTTCACTTATTGAAAATTTGAAAGAGCTTTTCAGCGTGACTTATTTTTCGAATAGCTGGTGTTTTGTTGTTGTTGTTGTTTCGCACATCTATAACCAAATTTTATTTTTTTAATTCATTTTTTAAAATTTCAAATTTTCAAGTCTTTCAAATGCAATACATTTTATTTTTCTAATTTCAAACGTAATCAGCAGATGAAAATTTTGTGGATAACATTCATAACGAACTTCGGCGACATAGGCTTTAACGCAAACCCCTCAGAGTAAAATTCATGGATGATGTCACAGAAGTTCTGGATGTTTTGCAAGTTCAACTTTGAATCACCATAGTTGTACAGAAATGGACAATGTAGATATAACAAATTATGTCAACTTATCCTTTGCAATTTTTCGCCTGCTCAAAAAATGCAGCAGTAAAAAGATATTCTGTTTCGAAGATAGTCAAAGAGTATTTTGGATTACATTCACAAGCCATAACTAAATTTGAGATGTAGTGGGATAGCTCAAAATTTGCTTATTAAACCGGTAATGCACATTTATACTTGATTTATATACATAGAGCGCGAAAACGTGATGCTTGAAAGATTATTTCGTGATAAGCAATTACAGCCATACGATGTAGTACTTTTCATCTTACAATTAGAGACAGTGAAGTGCGCTTTGCAGATATGTAACTTCATTGGACCAATTTTCTGGGTATGTAGTGCCCTTACTCTTTCAGGCTCATAAGGACTGAAAATTGACGGCTTGAATTTGAGTTTGTAATAATTTTTACTGTTAGAATGTCGTAAGCTGCTTTGATCTTTTACACAGAATTTTTTAATCAAGCTCACGTTTTGATCATTCAAAACGTTGGAATAATATTTTCGTTTTCGCATTTTCGCATCAGCTAGAACAGAACGCTGCGAGGAATTTCGTCTCATGGGAAGAACTGATTATAGAGCAGTATGAGTATGAAATTTTGAGCATAAGACATGGTCATTTCATTCTTCTGTATGAGTGTTATATTTTAGCCAACAATTATTTTGCACTTTATGAATCTAATCGCGAATATACCAAAACCTTAGAGTAGTAGATGGAAATCCCGGATATATCTATGGTCTGGAACAACCCGGTTTCAAAATTCTTCTATACGCTTTATACGAGGGCGACACTGTTTGGATATTGAAAATAAGGTACTATCACACTTTTGTTTCAATTTCTAGGTCAGCTCGCAAGCAAGTAATCCCAATCTCTCTTTGAAATAAAATCGTTTTATACTTTCTGTTTTGGCCAGCACTGTAATGAAAACATCGTCATTTGCCATCACCATCGCTGTTCAAGCAACACCTGAACACGGAAAAAATGCAAAATTTTCTATAAAATTTTTAAATTGAGCCCCTTCTAAGCATTCATGCGTTCTTCAAAGAAGCCAAGCTCAAGCTCTAACTGTGCATGAGTTTGATTGCTTAACATCCCTAAGATACGTGAATTAGATTATCTGACACCTTTCAGTGACAGAATGATTTCTTCAGTCATTGAAACATGAGCCTTCCTCTCCCATTATTTTGCCATTCAAAGAAAATCTTCGGTTGCAGTTGTTTTCCACAAAAAAACCCCCCTACTCTATCACGAGAAAGCAAGATGTGCGGTCTTCATATCAGCAGAGCTGTCTGTCTCATATCAA